CCCCAAAACCCCAAAACCCCAAAACCCCGTCATGAGGAATTATAGAGAGTTTTAATATAGATTAGATTTAATTTCATTAATTTAAACAACTTTTGATTTTAAGAGATTACTGATGCAACACTAAAAGACTAAGATTTATGAACATTATGAACTTCTTTTTGAAAATTATAACTTTGGATTATTAGAAACTCAAGACCTAGAGTTGAAGTTTTAGAAGTTGTACTAATTTTATTAAGAGTAGCAAGACTTGCTGTCTAGGGTAAGCCTTATTCACTTATTAACTCACTAAAGAAAATGAATTCTACTATAAAATCATACACCTCTATGATCACAGATGAAGAGAGAGTCGCTTAATAGCAACTGGAGAACCATAAATCCATATTAAAGCAATCTGGCTTGTAAGAGAAAGCAAGAGGAGCTGAGTTTAATGGTATAAATTTCAAACTCAATGAATTTTGAATTTCTAGGTTCACAAGATTTTTACAACACAGCTTCAACTCTTTGTCAATCAAGGAATGGCAACTTCAATATTGAGAGCTCTTCTATTCTACAAAGAAACCTAGACTAGCAATACCAAAAGACCTTGAATTCGTTCAACATTTAGATGACTACATTTATTCAAGATATTGAAAAGAAATTGGTCTAGGATGTTGATCTTATCTTGGCGCACATTGATGAACTTCAATTCTTCAAAATTACCAAAGATGAGGAAATTGGGAGAGAAGCTGAGAAAAAGTATGGTATCATGCCTCCTTTATATAAGGTTGAAATACCTTTCAAAAAATAGGAATTGCAGCAACATATCTCAACTAAACCTAATAGACCCTAGACAAAAAAAAGAGGTACCGCACTATTTTTTATTCTTGTAATAGATGTGAAAGTTAACAGGAAGTAACCTGCAACTAAGATTAAAATGAAGCAAGAAAAGATGTCTTTTTCAAAGAGTTCCAAATAGTATATGAAAAAGCAGAGGCCTCCATAGTCCAAGAAAAAGGCTTAGGCATAAATCAAGTTTGAAAGTGATGATTCAAATGATGACTTAATGAATATTGAATATTCTATTCTAAACAATCAAGATTGAGTTTGAATTGATGGGGTTAATTGAGTAAGTTATGCTTATTTTAAGTGAGCTACCAATAGCTTTAATCTGCTAACTATCCAAGATTTTATTTCTTAATTTATTAGATTTAACAATCGCTTATAAAACTTATTTTGATTTTTAAATCTGCTAAGAGGGGTTTTGGGGTTTTGGGGTTTTGGGG